ATTATAATAAATAAGAAATATATTTAAAATAAAAAATAAAAATACAATGCACATGTCATGTCACAAGAAATCTAATACCGATAGGGTACAAGACAAATAATTGACATAATAAAATTTAAAATTACATTGTACCAAATAAAAAATAAAATACCGATAGGACATAATTAATATTAACGTAATATAAAAATAAATTATTTTATTTTTACAAATTTTTATACAATTGTACCCACGATAGGTGAGTTCACAATCATATAAAATTATATCATGCTTAACAAAAAAATTATATGATGCATGATTTAATAATAATAATAATTATTATTATTATTTATTTTTATTATTTGTTTTAATAATACCGGTTGTTTCATGTTGTCCCGAGAAAAAAAATCCAGCTCTAAAATGTAAAACTCAATTCTCTTCGTCTTTTTATTATGGTTCAAATTAAGAAAAACATAATAATATACCATTTGTTTTTATATTTATCTTTTCCTATTAATATATATATATATATATATATATATATATATAACTTTATAGAAATAAAATAATATATTATTTGAACTCAACATTGAATTTTCGACGTAAGTGACAGAATGATCAACGCTCAACCCTAATACTCTTCCACGCAACTTGAACAAAACACAACGTGCAAAACCACGTCCATGGAACCGCACATGCACGAATGCAACGAATCACCAATGGCATCACTGGCGATGAAAAACGAAGGTCATTTAGTCGCTAAAAACGTGCATTGCCGATCATCACTGCGACATCGCTACTGTCAACCAGCTCAATACAGTATGTTCGGTACTCCACAACAAAATGGTATTGTAGAAAGGAGGAATTACACTTTTCTAGATATGGTGAGATGTATGTTGAGTCATTCCTCTTTACCGAATTTCCTTTGGGGAGATACTTTAAGGACTATTGTGTATATTCTTAATCAAGTACCTAGCAAGTCTATTTCAAAGACTCCATATGAGCTTATGACTGGGAAGAAGTCAAGTTTAAGATACTTTCATATGTGGGGTTGTAAGATAGAAGTGCGACCTTATAATCCTCAGTTGAAAAAAATTGATCTTAAGAATGTTAGTGGATTCTTCATTGGCTATTGTGTCGGTTCTCGTGGTAGCAGATTTTATTGCCCTTCTCACTTCATGCCAGTTATTGAGTCTGATCGTGCGATATTCTTTGAGGATGATTTGGACAGTGGGAGTAATGCACCACAACTAGTCACTCTTAGAGAAGATCGTGTTGTTGTTCCCGTACCATCCATTTCTTTTCCTGCAGATAATGTGATTCCAATTGTCCGTGACGAAAATGATTCTGTTCCAGATTTTGTTGATGCTACATCACCTGTAGTAGATGAACAAGTTCATGATGATGTTGTTGAAGATGTTCATTTGAGGAGATCTCGAAGATTACGCAAGTCTTCTATACCTGATGATTATCAGGTGTATCTTCAAAAGCATGAATATAGTCTTAATGATGTTAACGATCCTACTACTTTTAGAGAGGCTATCTCTAGTTCTCATGGTTCTGATTGGTTAAATGATATGCATGATGAGTTAGCTTCTATGACCCATAATGAAGTTTGGGATCTTGTGGATTTTCCACTCGATTGTAAACCAATTGGGTGTAAATAGGTATTCAAGACTAAGCATAATCCAAATGGAAAAGTTAAGAGATATAAAGTCAGACTTGTAGCAAAAGGCTATAGTCAGAGGGATGACATTGATTATAAGGAGACTTTCTCACCGGTCTCTACTAAGGATGCTTTTTGTGTGATTATGACTTTAGTAGCTCATTTTGATTTGGAGCTTCATCAAATGGATGTCAAAATAACTTTTTTTAATGGAGATTTATTTGAGGAAGTATATATGGTTCAACCTGATGGTTAAGCATTTGGTTTGCAGGTTGAAAAAGTCTGTTTATGGGTTGAAACAAACTTCTAGACAATGGTATTTGAAATTTGACCAGGTGGTCACTTCTTTTGGCTTAAAGGAAAATGCCTCGGATCGATGCATTTACTTGAAGAAAAATGAGAGTCATTTCATCATCCTTGTCTTATATGTTGATGATATTCTTCTTGCTAGTAGTAGTGTTGAACTTTTGACTAAGACAAAGTCTATGTTAAATAACCACTTTGATATGAAGGACCTTGGTGATACCTCTGTTATTCTCGGCATTTATATTTTTCGTGACAGGTCACATGACATTCTTGGATTATCTAAAAGAGGATATATTGATAAAGTTCTCAAATGGTTTAACATGCATTATTGCTCCTCATGTGTAGCACCTGTTTAAAAAGGTGATAAATTCTCTAAATCTCAATGTCCTAAAAATGATAATAATAAAGTTGAAATGGAAAAAATTCCATATGCTTCCGTTGTTGGTAGTTTAATGTATGCTCAAGTTTGTACTTGTCCCCGATATTGCTTTTACTATTAATGCTTTAGGGAGATACTTGAGCAACTCGGGTTTAGGTCATTGGAAAGTCGTTAAAAAGGTCTTTAGATATTTGCAGGGAACTAAGGATTATGTGTTGACCTAGAAGAAGTCTGATCAACTTCAAGTCATTGGTTATTCTGATTCTGATTTTGCTTATTGTCATGACGATCGAAAATCTACTTCTGGCTTTATATTTAAGTTGGTAGAAGGAGCTATTTCTTGGAAGAGTGTTAACCAAACTCTTACAACTACTTCTACTATGGAGGCATAATATGTTGCTTGTTATGAAGCTATTTGTCAAGCTGGGTGGCTTAAAATTTTGATTTCTGACTTTCAAATTGTTTTAAGTATTTCTAGGCCACTTGTGATATATTGTGAGAACACTACTGCCTACATTTTTCTCAAAATAATAGAAGTTTTACTCGCTCAAAGCATTTTGATATAAAATTTCTATTTATTGGAGAGAAAATTTTGAATTTTCAAATTCGGATTGAACATACTGCTACAAAAAATATGTTAACAGATCCACTGACTAAAGGTTTAACTATTGGAGTTTTACAAAATCATGTAACTCATATGAGTGTGGTTAAGTCTTTTGATGTACTTGGTTAGTGGGAGTTTGAGATTCATATTTTATATTATTATGGTTTTCACGAAATGTAAATTTATCAATTACATTATTTTCATTACATCTCTTTAATACATAAAATGTATGAACCATTTTGGGATCACATATTTATTATGTTTTTGTTTTATTTTATTTATTATCCATTATTTATTAAATCTAAGCATAGGGTAATCATCCCTATAGGATATTATCTTTGTCATTAATTGATACTTGTGCTTGTTTTGTAATTGATATAATTAATTTATTTATTAATGTTATCTAAGTGGGAGAATGTTGTATTTATATAAATTATTATATAATTTATTATTCTCTATTGTTATGGATTACCATTAATCAATAAATTAATTGTTTATAATTATCAATTATATTATATTACACATTATTATTATTTTATAAATAATAACTTAATTTGGAACCAGTCTGTGATAAATTAGATTATCTAGAATCAGTTACTTATGAGAGATCCTTGATTTGTGTTTGTGGGTATATAAAACTAATACCACATTAATAAGTTTTAAGAGAGACAATGCACAATACGTTCAATAATAATCTATTAGAAAAAGAATAATATTCTCTCATACGCGCTCTACTGAATCTTTTAATTATTTTGAATATATAATATTTTTATTATCTTAAATATATTATGTTTATTGTATCTTATTATATTTATGTGAATTAATGAGCGTGTAAAATTTGAGACATAAGATCACCTCTATATTTGAGTGGTAAAATAATGTCATTAAAATTTTCCACTATCACCAAATATTTGGCCTGGGTTCAATAATCATACAGCATAAAAATTTAGTCATAGTTCAACAAATATGTTACATAAACAAAATATGAAGATAAATATCATAGATTAAAAAAAATGAAATTTAGGATTTTTTTCTAAAAATTAAGATTATTTCTGCAAATATACATTAAATGAATAAAATAAAATAATAAATATGAAAGAAAAAAAATTAAAAATAGTTTTAATAATTGAAAATAAAAACGAGGCATTTTCATTAACTTGACACACAAATCAAACCAATCTTTTCAAGAAAACTTAATATATTAAATAAAAAAATAATTATAATTATTAGCGTATTTTATTTTTAATCATGATAAATTTATATTAATATATTTTTATAATATTAAAATAAGATTGAAGTAATTTTTTATTCATTAAAATATAGAACTATTCTTCTTTATTATCAATTAATAAAAATACAGGCGTTAAATTTCCTACCATTTATTTTAAAATATATTTTTTTCTTTCTTTATTTTATCTTCACTTTATTTTTTATTCATATTTGTACTATTTTTTAAATATATAAACTGTTTTTTTAGCTATAACACTTTTTTTCTCTTTCTAATATCATAAAAATCCGTTACAGAAAGAATTCCTTTCATATACAATTATAAATAATAAGTAAAAAAATCATAAAATAAATATACATACTTTTTTTAAATAATTATAAACAACAGTGTTATTTCTTATACATTTCCATTATATTTTATTAAATATTTGTAAGTATAAGCAATATTTTAAGTCATGCTTTGTTTTATGATATGAAATTTAATTTAGTTTAACTAAAATTTTAATTAAAAAAATCGTATTTTCTATTTTTATTTCCTCCCAACTAAGCACAATTTTATGTCCCCTTTATTTTTATCCGCATTGCCCCTAAAATCTTGTTTTATATTATTGATTTTAATAATAATAATAATATATTAAAACTTTATAAATCCTAATATTTATAATGTCATTATATTTTAATAATAATAATAATAATAAAATTGATATACTACAAAAACTAAAGGAACGAAAAAAAGGAGGGTGTACTAAATTTGAAATGTTTCTGAATAATTCAAACGGTTGCGTGGTTTGGTTCGAGAAAAAGAAAAAGTGAAGGAGGGTAGGGTAGGGTTTTGGTAGAGGATGAGCCGGAGTTTGGGAATACCGGTGAAGTTACTCCACGAAGCATCGGGTCACGTGGTGACGGTTGAGCTCAAAAGTGGCGAACTATACCGGGGGAGCTTGATCGAGTGCGAGGACAACTGGAACTGTCAACTCGAGAGCATCACTTACACGTCCAAGGTTCCGTTTCTCATCTTCCTCACACTACCATTTCTTTTTTTCTACCTTCTAACCTATTTCTATTGTCAAGGGATCTTATGCGGACAAACTCGAGTTTTATTTTTAATTTGATAACGCAATGTGGCATTTCTCTGCTTTTCGATTTGCAATGTGATGTTGCCCATCACTCATATGATTTGTTACCAGCGGGAGTTAGGCCTAGCAGAAATGGCTAATCTCCTGCAACATAGCGGATCGATGTTTAAACTTGATCAACATTGTCTAAGATGGAAGGATCTTGTGGAAACCATTGACAAAAATGACAAAATTATGTTTGGTATACAAAATATTTTCATTTAAATATACATTGTAGTCATAGTTGAATACTGCACTCAAATGATCAAATTACGATATATAACTTGCTATAAATCTTATTTTACAAATCAATTTTGTTGGTTTAGTTAGGTTTAAATTCACTTTTTAAGATTACATCAAGCTTATCTTAACAAAGTTTATTAGAATTAGATTGTTATCGGACCACGCATACAAATATCAGTTGTACTCTTCAGATAATCAATCCTGACATGAGAAGATGTGTTTTAGATATGACCGAAAATATCATCAAAAAGTGCAAAGCTGTGATAAAGTAAAGAAGAGGATAATGATTCTATTATATGTGGTTCTTGTTGGTAAAAAGAGACACTGGCAAGGCAGGAACAGGGCAGGCGAGAGGATGATGTGATGATCATGAAAAACAAAAGTTTCATTAAAGAACAAAAAGATTGGAAATGACATTTTATTGGTTCCCACATTTACAAAAGTGAGATATTTGTTGCCTAAAATATGCGATGAAAACCATGACCTGTGCGTGTTTTCTCTTCCATTTTCTGCTTTTTCAGTGAAAAATGAAATGAAGAAATTAACACACTAAAAACAGCCTTGATATATGACATCTCCAACTCAAATATATACACTAAAATGCACAGTATAACTAATTTCGTTGCTGTTGTTTGTAAATCCTCTGCAGGATGGAAAAACATCGCAACTTGAGCATGTATTTATTCGAGGCAGCAAAGTCAGGTATGGATCACATGTTATTCAGCAACTTAATCATTTTATATTCCTAATAAGGTTGTAGAATATAGTTCTTAGAATCTTACTATTCATTATTTTGAATTCTAGATTTAGATACAATTGGTCTACCTATTGATTGATATCATAAATGAATCTCAGATGTCTTCGAGTGTGTTTGGTTGCATGTCTTCAATGTGCGTATACCAGTATTTTCCTATTAAAATTTTGATAAAAAGTGTAGAAGCTATACTTAGTTATTTATGAATTGATGCAGATCCAATCTGACGTGACAAGATTTCAAACACGAATTGAATCTTACCTATACATGAATGAGTCGGTGCAATTTTGTATCATCAATGCGAACCACATGATTCAATGATTTTTTTTTCTTATATTACTTTTTTGTTTTCACCTCTTCTTGTGAAAGAAATTGAGAAATTATGTACAATTAATTAAATTGTCAAATGAAAATGAATTAAAAGAACTCTAATGATTTATGAACCTCTCGCATTCGATTATTCCATATTTCAATTTGTCATTGACTGATTCAATAATTCATTCTATTTGACTATTTCATTACTTTGTCTTCATCTTTTAAATACTTCACAAACTCTGATGTAACTAAGAAGTGTTGTACGAGGCTTATGGTTAAGTTGTTTTATATATTTCTTGTTTAAAATTATTAAATTAAACACTATCATCTATATGATATTTGAGATGTGAAAACGGACAGTTTGATTCTATTCATGGGCAAGTGAAAAACTGTGCTGGTTTAATCCGAACCATATTTTACGTAGACAAAAAAAATTGGCATGGTCCAGTCCTATATGAGTTAATAAGCTATTTTGGTCCAATTAAAAAGAAAATATTTTATTTTAAATAGTTATAAATCATAAAAAAACTAGATAAAATAATTATTTTTTAGAAGTTAATTAATTTTAATTTTTAGATGAAGTGATTTAATATTTAAATTATAACACATGTACATATTTTAATAAAATAATATACATTTAAACATTTTTATTCTTTTTTAACATCGATCTATCCATAAATTTACGTGTTGATGCGGTCTAAATTCACTTTGACTGTGAGTTTAATAGGCGGAGTTAAAATTGTTCCGTTTATGATGGCACTATTATTTTCAGCTTAATCTAATTTATTTTACGATCACAATTCAAAAATTTGTTTGGCAATTCACAATTCGATAATTGTAGACTACAGTTTCTGTAAGTGCTTTGATGTAATATAGAATGTGTCAGGTTTATGGTCATACCAGACATGCTGAAGAATGCTCCTATGTTTAAGCGTTTGGATGCAAGAATTAAGGTACCTTTTAATCATTAATCGATTAACTAATCCATGTTTGTTTTATGTGTTTTATATTTATACGTTCTTAATCTCTTGAAGGGCAAGGGTGCATCACTTGGAGTTGGTAGGGGAAGAGCAGTTGCGATGCGAGCAAAGGTATTTACCCAATTTTCCTTTTTTCAAACTCTTAATTGATAATATAAAGATAGCCTAAAAAAATTGCTTGCTCTTCCTGCTAGTAGTTTTTGCCAAAGTAACATGTGATGTAATTCCAATTTTTGCTTGTGTAGGCTCAAGCTGCTGGCCGTGGAGCTGCACCTGGGAGGGGTGTACCATCAGTGCGGAGGTGATCACCGGTCACATCATCCTTATTTTCCCTGTCTGTTGAACGTGATATTTAGGTTTGTTGTAGTCTTGTATAAGTTTATGAGCGAAAGAAATTCAAATAGAAATTGCCTATGTAGACTTCATAAATTACTCTCTTTAAAGATGGTACTGAAGGCCAAATTTATACTCACAGCTTGTAATCATTTGATCTGTTATTTTGTATTTCGATGGTTGAACTTTGTTGAAGGGAGCTTCCAAAACTATTAAAAATATTACAGATTAGAATTAGTTACATAGGATAGTTTGGTAAACTCAGAAAACTGTTTAGTCCTGATTATGATATACTAGTCAATATTCATGTTATTGTAACTAGTTTTAATTTGCTTTTAGTTTGGTTAAAGAGGGACAGAGTGATTCGAATCACATTTTGTGACTTTCTTTTCAAGACGTTTTGAAATCCGTGAGCTCCACTAAACAACACAAACAGCACTTTAGATGACAATATTAAAGTCTCCATGACGTGCTGATGGAAGGGGCATCATTTCAGTGTAGTTGCTATTACCTTATGATTTCAGCTTTTGTTGGTTTACCCTCACGTTGCATGCTGAAAAAACAATGCTGAAGGTTCTTGACAACCCCCATAAAATATGTAGCATATATCCACATAAACTGAAACAAAAAATAACTTACATGATGGAAGTCCTATTATTAGCCATTTCGGATAGTACTAATCCTGGTAATATCCTATTATTATTATCCGAAATATCTACTGCAGTCTCCAACGGCAATGATAAGTTATTACTAGGTTTATCTTAACAATAAGTTGCCACCAGGCAATTAATACCTTTTTCATATCTTAATTAAGAATGTGTGAAGTCAATGAAAATTGAAAGTAAGCCAGAACAAGTTTTTTTTTTTTTTTTAAATACCCGAGTCACCATGGTTCATCAGCTTAATATTGTGTTGCAGTGCTGCATGGATAAGAGGACCTTGCTCTTACATTTTTCAAACGCCTCCCAGACAAACCTTAATAATACCTTTTCATTAATCTCCTTTATTCGTTGAGTAGTACACAACACTACTAATACTATTAGTAACATTTCAGGAGCTATTTGCTGAATACAGCATGATATATACAGCCCAGAGAAGTGAAACGAGTTTTCGACAAAATGAGAATAAATTCTAACATGGACTGCCCATTTATTTTAATTTAGATTCTCTTAAAAAAATCTTTTAAAACTTAAAAATAGATTTTGATCTTAGAACACAAGGGAGAATAGTTATTATTTTTAAAAAGAGGTTTATTAATAAAAAGAATTGAAGTAAAAAGAAAAAAATATAACCAATGAATTAAAGTTCAAGTTTGGACAATACCATGAAACTCTCGGGTCGTGAAGTATTTGAGCTATATCACATCATCATATTTGTAGAGTGTTTAAGTTTTTATTTATTTATTTATTTATAATTGTGTGACGTTTGATGTATTCGTTGACAAGTTTAAAGTTAAAAACAAAAAGGTTTATATATAATTTAAGATCTTAAATAAAAAGGTTTATATATAACATGGAAAAACCAGCTTAATTCAAAAACAGAAGAACTTATTGACTTAAAAAAAACATTAAAAACTATAACAGAGTATAGTTTAAGTTAAAAAAATAAAATAAAAATTGCAATATTTAACAATGAATATGTTCGAAAGAAAAATCCTTTTTCTTAAGTTAAAAAAATATTCTTATACTAAAACAAGTTTAGTTAACACACGATAAATGGGAAAATGAATATATTTAACATTAAAAGCATAAAAAAATAATAAAGTTAATTATAAGCTCATTTTTTAAATTAGTAATTATCATGATTCAACCTATGAAAAATTAGCATTTCAAGAGAATAACTTACTCTATAATAACATATAGCATAAAATTTAAAGAAAAATAAAAATGTAATATAACTTTTCAACCCAATTGCCGTAATTGAAAATTATCAAAATTTTACCTCACATATGTATCACTTAAATCTGTCAATTAAAACGGTTGATTTACTGGTTTCTACAGAGTCCAAAATTGCAATAATGATTAAAATTTGGTCCCTTTTGTTATAATCTATTTTTTCAAAGGTGTTGCTGTTGCGGGTAAGGTAGCTCAGTTTGTAGGGGTTCCATTCCATCTATGCCATGGATACCCTATCAAGGATTACTTTGCCCCCCACTTGTTACAGCCTGCAGTTCCCAAAAATCTCTGCATTTTCTCGTTTTCCAAATGCTTTTTCCGCAACCACTCCCCTGGTTTCAGTGCTAAGAGTAAGAGCTGGTCCTCCTTCAGGTTAGCCACTCTGTTTCTTGGGTCGTAATTCGACTTGTTTCATTGCTTTTTTATCCCTTTACTGGGAAATTTAGCATCTTTTGAGAGGGGAAGGGGTTTGGGGAAATGGGTAGGAGGCTATTGGACAGGCTATGTCAAGCTCAGAATGAAAACTATACACATGCATAATTCCCAAGGTTGTAAGTACTTGTATACTCATATAATTTGTCTGAACTCTGAAGAGTGTTTCCCTCTGCTGGAGAAACACATCTTCAGTTTGAATTGGAGATACTTCGTATTAGAGTTTGGTAACTTAGACTCTGGATTGGAAAAATTAATTGAAGGCACTCTAATTTTTTGATATTTAGAACAATTTGTTTTTGAAAACTAATAATTCTGACTCCCTAGCTGCGCATTGTTGTTTCAACTGAATACTTTGTCTGAGAAAACTTTGAAAATGTATTACCGTGCTTGGATTATTATAAAAAAAATCTTTTTTTTTTTTTGTTGCATTACATGATAACTAGGTTTAAGATTGAAGTCACTATCTCATTTAAGTAAATGTATCTTTTTGAAGTTTCGATAGCAAGAGAGTGAGGTTGGATCGTTAGAAATAAGAGGAATTTGAAGTGTAGTTTTCTTGAATGAGTAGTCTGTTGGTGCATTCAATTTGAGGGTGCTTCAAAACAAGTAAACTACTGTTAAACAATTGTTTCTGTTATTTTTCGGGGAATTTAATGGCTTCTTTCTTATGTTTATTATTGTTATTCATTTTAGTTCTCTTTTATATGTTATTCCGACTATGATTCTGTTACAATGTGTGTTACATCGTAGATTTATATTAGAGTTGCAATTTTTCTCCCCAGCTCCTCTTAATTAAAAGCTTGCGTAGTTTGACATTCGTATCACAATTTTCTTTATAATTCTAGGGCCTTCTTTCCATTGATGTACTGTTAGATATTAAAACCATTCATGAGATTTAAAACCTAATAGCTTAAGAGCTTTTTGGAGAATTGGTAGTTGATATGGTATTAGAGTCTCTTTGATAAAGTAAACAAGACTTCAATCCTAGTTTCAGTATAAGGTAGCTAAGCATAAGCATTAACACATTGTCTTAATCTCAAGCCAAAAATAGAGCTCTTGCATGAAAGAGTGTAAATAAAAATTAAATTTGAACACAAGATAGCTTAGTATAACCATTTCCTACTCCTCAAGACCTAAAAGGGCTCTTGCATGAGGGAACGTGTGACAAAAAAACTACTAATCAGTTGTATCTTAAGATATCTCATCCTTGTAGCTTCTACATTTATTGAAATTCACGTTCCACCATTTCTATCCTTTTAGCCCCAACATAAGTAATACTTTATCCTTGGCAATTTATCTTTTTTTTCTTTTTCTTTTTACTTGTAGACCTTGTTTCTGTTGAAATCTAATTGGTTGACACTCATAATTTTTAGTGAATGATGTCGATGAGGATGTCTTGCAAATATTTTTCAAAGAGAGAGAATTAAATGGCGATTTTATATCAAGAACTTCTGATTTATTATGGAGAAGAAATTTCAGAAATTCTGGTGATTATGATATTAGCATGCTCACTGACAACACTTCTGAACAAACAGAGCAGGTGCAGTTGACTCTGTTTCTAATTTCAAACCATCCGATTCAACTTAATACATTTGATCAACTGTCAGTTTTGGCTGTTTTTTGCCTTGGACTGATCCATTGCAAATGTTTGTATGTTATTTCATTGGTCACGAAATTCAATTTCATGTGCTTTTTCTAATATTTTTAGATCATAGAAACCAACAATGATGGCGGTTTTTTAAAACTTAAAGGAACTCAGGAGTGGTTAACAGGTGATAATTCTCCTCCAATAAACAAGAAGATGACTGCTCAGGTATGCTTCAGAGTAGTTTTTCAATTACATCCCATTGACAAGAAGTGGGAAATTGGATATGAAATATGAGATTGGTATCTTGGAACGCATATTTTATTTTGTCAAATGTTTTCAAATTTACCTTCTCTCGGGTAAACAAATAATAACTCAGCCATCCAATAATGTTGGATGGTTCACTTCATATATCAACAGATGTTACAGGACAGCAGCGCAAGATACAAGAAACTGAACATGCTCAAATATGAATCTGTACAATACCTCTCTTGACCTTGATATTGTTCTTTGTTAGCTCAAGTTACTGACATCAGTGTTTTCTTACCTCAAGGCATGTAGGTTTTGATCAATTAGAAGTTTAGATGTTGTGTGAGCTTCTTATTCTTTCATTTTTATTCTTAATTGTAGCTCAAGAGGGAATTACTGCTTCTATCTGTGGGTATTGGATTCGCTTGCAGTGGATATTGCTTGGTAATTTTTTCAGTGCAGGTAAACTTTAATTTGCATTCTGTGTCAGAAAAAGTCTTCAATTTTCTATTGTAATTCAGAACCCGATCATTTTTGTGCTTCTTACCACTCAATTTTGTTCTCATTCTTTTTGACAAGTCTAATTTTAGATGGATGCCAGTGTCTTACCATAATGATTTAAATTCAAAAACTACCCCATTCTATAAGTTTCTAATTGTTTTCTTCACTGATGTGTGCCTGTCTCTTAAATGTGTAGGCTGCTATAAGTTATGCGATTGGAGTACTTTTCAGGTTTGTTATTGGATTTTATCATATTGGTAATTTCTTATTGAAGTAATTGTTCCTGAGCTTAAGATACTCTAATGAGACTATTTGAGCCTTAGTTGATATTTATTCATCACTGTTTCTCTTTGTGGGTGAGATAAACAAAAGGATGTAGCTGTTCTTATCATTACTAATTATTATGCTTAACTGATATATCATTTTCAATGCAGTTGCTTGTACCTTCAACTATTGTATCAACATGCAGACAACCTATCCAATGAAAATGTTCCTCAAGTATTCAAGAAAAAAAAGTCAAAGAAGTACAAATGCAAACTTGTGATTTGAATTTGATCTAATCATGCTAGTTAACATTCTCTGTTGTTGACATTTTCCTATCCCCTGTTTTGGTAATAACTATTCCTTAACCAGAATTGGTATAAGAAGTGAGGACCTTGAAGATTTCTTGGAGAGGTCAATCAAGGGTAGCAGTATATCACTTTCATCTCCCAGGCTTGTTATTCCAGCAACAATATATGGACTTTGGGTCCTGTTTCATCAGTACTTTACCAATGACTTCTTTGATTTCCAGGTAATCCTTGGCAGCATGTACATAAAAAAAGTTTCTTGAGCCACTAAGGGTTTTCTATTTGAATTAATTTTACCACAACCACTTGTAGAAGAAGAAAATTAAAAAACTAAACTGGTAAAATCAACTTATACACTTAACTTATCTCATTTAATTTTTCTAAAAATTAAAGTACATAAATTAATATAAGCTTGTTAGAGAAACTCAATTCATTTTTTCTTTTTATCTATGTATATTTATAGAGAAGTTTATCCAATCATGGTCTTACTATTCAACTATGGTCAAATTCATTGATCATTTATGTATACTTGCCGCTTGTTCATCCTAGCTTGTGCCAGCCATGTTCGGAATGTTTGTCTACAAAGCTGCTGTTCTGGTGCAAGTTTATAGGGACAATGAAGGCTTGCGGTTTGTATTTCCAGAAAATGAAGATTGATCAAGTGATTGAACATTTATTTTCCCATACTCAGTACTCAGCAAGCAGAGTACTTTACTCAGTACACACTATCCTGAAACATTGGAAATGCTCAGCTGCATCCTTAACTCTGCACTGATCACAAGTTACATCCCTTCACTACATTCATCTTATGTTGAATTTTGGAACGATGATATTTTATTACAGTAAATAGTAAAGAGTGTATCAATATCACGCCTCTTAATTCAAAACATGACATTGATGAATGAATATTGCATAGCCATTAGTCTCCGCCCCCGTTAGTTTTGTACACAAAAATTTGACATTAACATTGAAAGAAGCAAGACAACTTGAAATGGTAAAAGGTTGTTCTTAATATTCTTCATTTGCGTGTAGTCCCTAACTCTAACGTTAGTTACTTACTACTGATATGTGATTTGTAAACACACACTGTTATCATTCTACTTATTTTGCTTGCTTGTGAAATTTTCTTTTACTTTTGGAAAATATTTTGTTCAACCATGAAGGAGGTTTCTGTCCAATTTACACCTCTCAGTTAACACTAGTCTTTTCTCTTCCCTCACTTCTTTTTCTTCATCAAAATCAATGGTTTATTTCACTTAATAATACAAGTCAGTGTGGCGCAATTAACATATTTTCTTTTTCCAAGAGGATCTATTACACTTAAGAATGAGAAATTGTGGAGAATAACTGTTATAAATAAACCCTAAACTCTAAATTGAACATTCAAATAAATTTAATTCTATGGCCATGATCCTTTACCCTATCAAGATATCAATATGAATATATTAGATCGACATGACAATTATGCTATTTAGTTGCATAGTTTTAATCTCTTAGAACTCTTGAAATCCCAGCAATTCTATATTAAGATTTGACATTCACTATGATAATCCAATTCCAACTATGATGTAATATTTTCTTAAAAGGATACATACATTTCATCTATCATTATTATTATATTGTCATATCAAATACTTTCTTATCATGTTCTGCTCATTTAAGGTGTGTCAAAAATGATCATAAAACCTAATCACATCGGTTAGGTGGTCATACAACTCGTAGTCATATCATTTTTTATTTTTATAATCCAAATGTTTAGTGATTTGAACTAGGCAGAGTTAGTTTGTTGGTCTAATTAATTTATTTTAATGTAAATCACAAATGATAAATTTAATATTATTTGTGTTTTTAGTGACATCAATTTATTACCATAAATGAAACACTTCATTTTATTTTTTTACCATTACTTATCATATTGTTATTTGATAGTTTACATGACAATCTATTTTTTCTTTATTTTAGTTTAGAGTTATTAATTTATTATATATTGCATGAAACTTATAACTTTTAAATATTATATCTTTAAAAAAAAAAGTGAGTCATGAACTAGTTTGTGTGCTCGATGACTTACCAAATAACGGATAGCATAATACAACCTATAATTAAAACTCACTTTATTTAATCCAACCTAAAATATTTTTTTTCAAATCATATTTAAAAATCAAAATTCTATTAAACCACATTTTAATCACGAGTTTAACAAATATGTAATTTAATTAGAAGTCTGAATTGTCTCACCAAATCTCACCCCAGAAATATCATTTAGAAAAAGTTTGATCTCGAAATTAAAAAAAAGTAATTTTTCTCTAATTTTTAATCTTACATATACTTTTTTTATAAGTTTCAGTTAATTAAAATAATTTTCGATATCTTAGATGAATATGTTGATTTAGAGTTTAATTGAAAATAAAATAAAATAAAATATATATCAAATAGAGTTTAATAGAAAAAAGAACAAAGGCAAAAATTATAAATCAAAATTAGAATTCAGTAAAAATTTAAATAAAAAAGAAAAAGAAAACCCACCAGTCACTACTACTAGTAAACTACTACAAGACTATAGTGTGCTGACACTGTTTCACCTATCTTCATCTCTTGAATCATCGTTCGCTTTCTCTTGCATCATTTTGTATTGTACTTACGTTCTGCTGGAATGAAAAATAAATATAATTAATAATTTTATATTGATTCATACTAACACACATATTTAAGCGTAGATTGGCATCGTCGTCTTCTATCCACTTGTCGATCGCGAATTCATAAACCCTAGCTCGTAGATCTGATCTCACCTCGCTCCATGGCTATGGCGCCTCGGAAACCTCGCGAGCGTGAAATCCTGTTCGACTCCGTCATCGCGCTCGTCTTCATCCTTGTCGCCTGCGTCGACCTCTGCGACGGCGCCACAGTCGTCGACGTCTACCGCCTCATCCAGTACGACATGTCTGGCGTTCCTTTCGGATCTCGACTCGCCAGTCTCAACCACCACGCCGCCTCGCTCCACTTCTCTGCGCACGCTGATCTCTCTCGCACCGTCCTCCTCATACCACTTCGCGAACTTAACATATCTTTTGTCAAAGGTTCTTCTTATTTTTCTTTTTTCTTTTTTACTTTTTTCAAATTTTTATTTTAGGCAATAATTTTTGGCTAATTCTGCTGAGACTTAATTGCTGCGCGTGACGTATTTAGGAGTTGCCGAAGTTAAGAACCGTGTTTGAGAAGGGGGAGAAGTGTCATTCCAGTGACATCTTAAAGTGGTTAAAATGTTACGCATAGTAGTCTGATAGGAAGTACTTTACATTATACTCGTAAAAATGTCCTTGGGTTCGTTTGGGTAAATGACTTAATTAAGCTCATATTAAATGAGGGTTTTTATTGTCCAATCATTTATGTATATGCTATTAAAACACTTACACGAATAATTTTGTCGTCAATAAGCTCTTCCAAATGCATCCATAGTAGCTTATATGTTGTAGGTCTTAGGTTTGGAGAGACTCTAGTTCACTAGGTAAGCTGGAAAAGTTACATGTTTATTGTTTTTATTTAGTTGACTAGTTGTTGATGTGTTTTCCCTAACCCGATGCTATCCATTGTATTAATATTTTTTGTCCCTGTCATTTATATTGATATCTTTGCTTGAAGACTGTCATTTTGTCTCACTTGTTATTTAACAAGATCAAAATCTTGTGACTGCAATATGGCAGAATATATTGCTGAAAGCAAACCTCTTGGGGGTTTAATATTTTTGCTTCCCCGGATGTTCAGTTTTGAAAACAAAGATGGTATCGTAAGTAACCATCAAGATGGGAGTAAAGAATCGCTGAAGAATGTATTGGCTGAACTTGAACAAATACTTATACACGCCAACTTACCTGTGAGTAAATTTGAAACTGCTTCTCCTTTGTGTGGACTGTTTTCATTTTTTTTTTCTTTTGGAAATTCAAATAAAAAATATTTGCCCACTGGAAATGAGGACGCAACAGTTAATTGATTTGTTCATGAATTATGAATTCGTTTACACCATAATTATGGTGATTTTTATTCAACCACTACCATGTTCCCAAGCTATATTATATCTTTAAAGTGGTTTATGAAGTTATTGACCATGTAAGCTGTAGTCCCCTCCAATCACTTATTAACAAGTTTTTTGCTTTTTATCATTCAGCGGTTTGTTTGATGAAAAGGGTAATTGGCCTTGTAAGTGTCCCACCAATGTGATGATGATTGAAGACTTTGGGTAGCCTCATACTGTGCATGTTAAACTTGTTTGAATTTCAAATATTACTGCGTGCATGCAGCCGTGGTCCATATACAACCTTTCTCATTCACTTGTAGTAGAATTTTATCAAGTTTAATCTTCATATGGAGTGTAAATATGTTTACACTCTGAACCAATTATAAATCACTATAGATATAACTTTTAAAGTAATTATTACACACGTCAACAATCTTAATATATGTAAACAATCTATGATTGGATGACAGTGTAAAAATCTGTACTACACTGTTTCTGTGTTTTAATTAAATTCTTATTTATATTTTAGTTGAGGATGTGTGGTAAAGGATTTATAAACCTACTAACAATGTATTTTGCAATGACGTTGCTTCTCTACTTGTGTTTGCATGCATATTATGTACATGACTGATCTGTTAGTGCTGAGAGATACTTGCAAAACTGGAATATTTTCTTAACTTCTATATTCCACCTAGCTTCTGCTCTAGCACAATTTTTCTAGTTTATAGCATGGAGTCATTCTTGAAGTATGTCTCAATCAATTCACGACATAATAAGTAATGATCTACTGAAATGAGTTTCTTACTCATGTAAGAAGACCTATAAGAGTGTGCTGACAATGACATCCCCTGCGAGTTTTTCAAATTACACTTATGCTTTGAGCCTTTTTATCAGTACAATGGTCTCCCTTATTAGGGGGTGTAAGTATAATGTTTTTAAACTTAAGATGGGTGCATGTGTAATGTAAAAGTGGGTGAAAATGTCATGTTTTTAAAGCGAAGGGAAGATTTTGTGTAGAATTTAAAAAAATCTGGAGTGTCAGTGTAATTCAAGAAATTTTTTGGGGGTGTTAGTGTAATTTACTCTTATTATTTTTCATGTGTGAGAGAGAAATGAAAGGCCCACACCTTTGAATTTAATTGTTCTTCTATTAATGAATATTTTTCCCATTTATCGAAGTTAAAAGATTCATAAATTTTTTTGCTTTAGTATGTGTGACCATCGTTTTCGTGTAATGTCAGGAAGTAAGTTTCCTACAATTATTTTTTGTTTTTCCCCCCCTTTATTTTGTAACCAAGTAAGTACACCTCTATAATTTTATTTTTGTCATTGCAGTATCCTGTTTATTTTGCATTTGAGGATGACCATATTGATGCTGTGTTAGCTGATATCAAGAAGAATGATGTCACTGGTCAGCCTGCTACTGCAACAACTGGCGGGTGAGTACAAATCTGTGAATGAGGTTTTCATTGCTTTATCTAAATCTTGCAAAATTCTCTAGTTGGTTAAAGCAAGCAAGTGATGTGGAACTTTTTCACTTGACTGATTGGATCACATATGGGATTACCTAATATATTTCCAACATCTGGCTACTGCATTTTGTGTTATCGAATACCTTCTGTTCTATTTGTCGGTTTATGTTTTGATTATCTAATTCATTTCATACTTGCTGCTTTTCTTATATTTTTCATTCTCTTTCTTGGACTTTCTTTCTGTAGTAACATGATTGAGTTTTTTGAGTTATTGTATTACTAAGTTTATTTTTCTCTTGGAAGTAACATTATGAATGATTTCTTTGCATTTTTTTGCGATGTTGCAGATACAAATTTGTTGTTTCAGCCGCAGAACCAAGGAAAGTTGTATCTCCTCCCATTACAAATATTCAGGTATTTGTTCAACCTTCTTTTTAGATAAATACAATGTGATTGAAATGCTAAACAAAACTTATGTTGTATGAATACATAATATTAATTTGTTTCTTACCCTTTTTCTGATTTTTACGTCTGGTTCAGTGTAAGTCTTAGTTAACAAAAACCACATTTTATTGCTGTAATCAATCTAGGAATCCTTGAGGAAAGATCTAGATAATTTTGAAGAGGCCAGGGTTTGACCATGAGCCAATAATCCTGAGAAGCCTAGTGTGAAAGATTATTTTTTAAACCCCTCACCATGCAAAAGTTTTGAACCGAGTTACAAGGACTTGGTGCACTAGGAAGATTTGACTGGAGACCATGTCACTTGCTACACAATTCTTGTCTCAATCTCCTATACTATAGGATAGCACAACGTCATCAAAATGGTTGTGTATCAATTATGTTCGGTTGTCTTGTTCTTTGGGGTCAATCAATATAGAAAGAATCTACATGTAGAAACAACTTGGAAGTTTTGTGTGTTGAGTAACAGTTAGCTACATGTATCAACAAAACCAATTAATTCTTAATTGAATTTTCTTGTATTATACTTTATCCAGGATGATGGATATAATTTTCTCCATGCATTTTAGTTACCACTTTATTGTTTGACAACGTTATTAACTTACAGTATACATTTAACCTACAGCATTAATAACCCGTTTTAAATAATCAAATATGTGATTATGAATATAAGCTGCTTCTTGTGTTATTCTTTTTCCCGGTTGAATATAATTTTCTCCATGCATTATAGTTATCACTTCAGAGATTGATGGTATTTTGTGAAATTGTAAGTAACCATATGAGTAAACTTCTGCATAAACATTATTAAGAGAGATAGATAAGAAGAGAAAATGAAATGAGTCCCTCCACAAGATAAAATTAGCTTATGAATAAGCTAATTTGTAGAACCTCTCTCGTATTAGTTTCTCTAGAAAGATTATTTTTAACCCATGCATAAACTAATTTAAACTTATGGAAAAGTTTATTTCATCTTTCCTTCTTAATTTCTTCTTCTTTAAGTGCTTATGGAGAAGTTTACCCAAACAGGTCCAATGGCTCCTAAGTTCCTTTCTTGCGTTGATCTAATTTTCTGACTTATTATTTCTTCCTTTTGATGATTTCTTTTTTCTTGCAACATCCTTTTCATTTTTGACCTACCTTTTTTTTTTAATTTCTTAAATGATGATTTTCTAAAGTTTGTACTAGTCGCAGATTAATTATAGATATTGAAATGTGAAGTTATGTTTTAAATTTAAGCATGGACAAATACATCTTTTTCTTGATAGAATATAACAGTTGAAGACATGTTTCACAACATGTTATATATATACATGAATGGTTTCCCTCCTATATACACATCTGTATCACTTAAAACAATATGCACAATCTGTCTTCAAGCTCACGTCTTTAGAATTGGTGTTCTTTGAATAGAACTTGTGTGGATGTATCTTTTATATGGTTGCAGGGATGGTTGGCAGGCCTGAAGACAGATGATGATGCTCACCAATTACCCACCATTGCGATAGTGGCATCATATGACACCTTTGGGGCTGCTCCTGTATGTTATTTATGAATTCTACCTATAAAGCTAAACTGTTTCAAATAAATGATTATTATGCTTAAGTATATGTAATTGCAGGCATTATCAGTGGGAAGTGATAGTAATGGAAGTGGCATTGTGGCTCTTCTTGAAGTAGCTAGGCTGTTTTCTCTCTTGTATTCTAATCCGAAGACAAGAGGACAATACAATCTGCTGTTTGGGCTAACGTCTGGTGGGCCTTACAACTACAATGGAACTCGTAAGGTGATATATCATGTTTGGAAGTTCATTTATTTGCTTACAGTTCTGTAACACATAATCAACCTTCCCTTTTGTTACATATGATTCTGCATTTCAGTGGCTTCGGAGCTTTGATCAACGTCTGCGTGAGAGCATTGACTATGCTATTTGCTTAGACAGTATTGGTTCTTGGGAAAATGAATTGTGGATTCATGTGTCTAAGCCTCCAGAAAATGCCTTCATTAAGAAAATTGTGGAAGTAAGTGAATGAATGTTCACAGTGGTGCTGGCTTTTCTAAAATGGATTGACTTGCAGTCTTAGCTTTTTTACTTCTAACGGAAAATATTGGTGTAGGATTTTTCAAGTGTTGCAGAAGAACTAGGTTTTAAAGTGAATCTGAAGCATAAGAAAATAAACATTTCCAATCCTCGAGTAAGTGATAAATTTTAATTTTTATGTTTCACTAGCCTAGATCTTTACTAATTTATACTGAGCTTTTGCTCAATCTCAATTTTGGTTGTATTTTCAGACAGTTGTCATTGTCCCATTAAGTTATTGTAATAGTGCCATGTACAATCACCTTATGCATGGTTTACATGTTTATGAAAAAAAGGCTTGGAAACTATGATGTATCTGTTCTTCTAATTTTCATTTTAATCCGATGTCAAACCATCATACTTTATTTCATTACTTTGTATTGGTTTCCACATACTTCTCCTAGTCATATCAGCTTGTGCTTCCTGTCCCATTGAAATATCTCCTGACAGAGGCACATGCTTCCTGCATTTTGTCTAAAAGCTACTTCTAATAGTTATTAAAGATGGTCATCTGCTGTAGGTAGCTTGGGAGCATGAACAGTTTTCAAGGCTGAGAGTTACTGCTGCCACCCTTTCTGAACTCTCTACAGCACCTGAATTGCTCGAAAAAACTGGTGGTTTGGTTGACAGCAGGTTCATATCTAGACCTAAATGCCAGAAATCTATTATTTCTGTACCTTTTTACTGACTGAGCTTCTACAGGCATTTTGTCAGTGAAGAAACTATTGTCAGAAGTGTAAAATTAATTGCTGAGAGTCTTGCGGTAAGATTAAGTTTACCTCAAAAAACTATAAGTCAATGCACATTCCCCCAGTAAAAAAAAAAAAAAGATTAGGAATGTAACCTCTCGATGTCCTTGTAATTAATTTTCCTTCTCTTCATTTGGCATTAGAAGAATCATGAGGGAGTTTTTTTTTTTTTTTTTGTCCTGGGCAATAATTCTTAACATTCTTAATGTGAATTTGTTTGGTAGATATTTTTGGGCCATTAACAGCATACATGGTGACATTACTATGCTCCATTATATGGTTAAGAAAAAGCTACTGAGCCAGATTAGTTAGACTGAAATGGAGCCAGAATAATTTGAATCAGTTAGTTACCCTTGGATGAATCTGTGGCCCCTTCCAATTTGTCTTATCACCCTTGAATAGTGCTAAATTTTACTTCCTTTATCCTTCATTCATGTGGTCGAACTTATCTTCTATCATCCATTTTTAACTAAAAGTGTGGTGTTTATAAAATTTAACGTTGTGATCTGGTTTGGTTTAATTATTTAGAAATTGTGACAATTTCAATTATGAAAGATGGTGTTTAGTATCATTTTTCTAAAAAAAAATTGGAGTGCTCATGTAGTTGACATTTTGGGTATGCCTTACTGAAGATAATCCTTGATTTTGTGTGAACCTGTTATTTGGCTCTTTACCTAGCCTTTTTAGAAAAAAGGGTCAAACACTATCCCTTTGTTGATTATGGCAAACTGGCTTAATTAATGAGACTATAGTAAGATAATTGAATGGATGTATGATTAGTTGGTATCCTCTTTTTAAAGAATTGCCCAGAATAAAAATTTCGTTGGACATGTATTGGATTCTCAGTATCTTTTTATTTTTTAATGAGAAGCCAACTTTGTTGTTTTAAATAGTCTTCTGATCTACTTTCTGCAGAGACATATTTATGGACATCAAGGAAAGAACATTCAGATATTTGCAGACAACACTAACTTGGCTGTTAATCCTTCTTATGTTCGGTCATGGTTAGATGTTTTGTCCCAAACGCCACGAGTAGCTCCATTTTTCTCAAAAGATGATCCTTTTGTCATGGCACTGAAAAAGGTATTGTTACATGATTTTGCTTTTGTTTATTTTGTAGAAGTACCATTGTAACGTGTAAATTTATATCACGGCTTTTGCTGTCTCTTCAAGTCAAAGGATCACCCCCAACACGATGGTGTTCTGGTTGTGGATCAATTAAGAGAATCGCTGAAGCTTAAGAGGCACAGATATGACATAAGACACAAATATGGAAAATTTATAAATGATAAAGACATGACTATACTAGAACATGCAAAATTAGTCTAAAATTAATGTAATATAATGATAAGAATTCTTAAATCACAAGAAATAATTCATGTTCCAAAAGTATCAGCCACATTGTAAACATGGTAAAATGCTGAGATTTATCTAATTATTATGGTTTTCCCCTTTGTATTGATATAAAACTAAAATTATAAGAAAACAACTACAATTATTTCAGGTAGGGATGTTAAAATTGACTTAACTTGATTAGGAAGCTTAAAAACAGGTCAAGGTTAACGGAAAAACTTACGATCTAAATTAAATTATTAATTTTTGGCTGGGCACTTTTAGCCTTTGAATTGAATGGACTTAGGTTGGAGGGGACTATATATAGGCTTATAAAATGATTTGTTTTACAAGATAATAAATTTATTATAAAATATAAATATAGTATTACGATCTAAATTAAAATTAATTTCATTTTAATTTTTTAAAATATATAATAAATTTTTAAACCTTTTAAAAAAAAAATTTCTTTTTGAGTCAAAAATGGTCTTGCTAGCCTGGGAAAGGCTTAAAGATATGTTCCGTTTAGAAATATTGATTGGACTGGCTGGGGAAATTTTTTCAAATGGCGGGGTGGGACTGGCTCGTTTAACAGGTCTGGTTGCAAGCATCCTTGCATTGTCCAAGATGAAAATGTAACATTTACAACAAAAACAACACAGCTGCTATTTAGAAGTGTCTACATTTTAGTTTGTAGCAATATACAAATGAATGCAGTTGTATGTTTTTTTTTTTTTTTTTCTTTTTTTTTTTGTGTTGGTAAGGGAGTTTACATAAATAAATGCCACAAATTTACTTTCTTGTATTTTACGAAAAAATTATGAAACTAGAATAGAGTGAAATTGAGGTTGCTTACTCAATTCTCGACACCTGGAGTTTGACTCCTGTACTTATCTAGTGTTTTTATTCATGTATGTAGGAATTAGAAGATCACACTGATGAGGTAAATCTGCATAGAGATGTGCTAGATGGAATGTTCACTTTCTATGATTCAACCAGGGCAAAGCTGAACATATATCAGGTATTAGAAGTTATTTTCTTTGCAACTTGTTCTGTATATAAAGTTTAGCCATTTTGAAGGGCTGGATCTACTTATTGGATCATTGAGAGAGTCTTAGTAGGCGATCTTCAGTCCGGGTCCTGACTGTTCGTAATTCAGTTTTTTTCAACTTGAGGGTGCAACATTTTTGGGTTCTTTGATTTTCCTTTTTATTTTAAAGCACTTTTTTTCCTGATTGAAAAAGGAAATAATTTTCACAATAAACAAAATCTGTGTTATTTGACCAGTAAATGCATGTTGGATGGAGATCTATTCTTAGGAAAGGAATTTATTCAAAATTTCTCTGAATAAGCTGTCCAACATTAAGGCTCCAAAATAAATTAATTCAAACATGCTCTATGTATTTAACATTTGGCTTTGGAATTACTTGTTGCCCTGAAAGTAATTGTTTTATGGTTTTACAGGTTGCCAGTGTCACATTTGACTTGCTGTTACTTCTAGTCTTGGGGTCGTATTTAATTCTGCTCTTCAGTTTCTTGGTCATCACCACCCGGGTATCTATTTATTCTTATATAGAGTCCTCCGCAAAGTTTTAAGTATCCAGTTTGTTGTAAGCACTGAATCTAACTGATGCTGTTTGACAGGGTCTTGATGATCTAATCAGTCTATTTCGGCGGCCTCCCTCTCGAAAAGTGAAAACTGCATAGTGAGTGGCTGGCAGGATTTTGGTAACATTTAAATAGTATCTTAGGATGGAAGTTTCTATTGAAAGGTTCTGTAGCGGATTTTTTTCTCATTTCCTGAACTTGGTTGCTTTAGTGGTTAAAAACAGTCAGATATTTATTTTTGGCTGTGCCAAATTAACGACGCCAAAATTTTGATTTTTGTTTCCCCGTTTTCATTTGGCGCTTTTTTGTAGTGTAAAAAGTGCTTACTAATTCAAGCCTTGTAAAACACAAGGTTACCCGGGTTGTTAGGCAATGCTTATTGCATAATGCTGCAATTCAAAAAACCCATTATTTTCAAATAAATCTCTTCGAATCTGTCACCTGCTCACCTCTTAAATGTGCACACGGTTTTTGCTTTTTGAATTTAATGAGTTAAATCAGTAAAGTCCTTTAAAGTTTAAAGAATTTTAACTTAATCTAAAAATTCAAAAATTAAAATAATGGTTTTAAAAAAAATTCTCATTTTTTTCATTTTAAAAAAGTTTTAGTATGTTATTATTAAAATATAATTTAAATTTTATTTATGCATAATTTAATTTATTTTGATGATAATATAAGATTTATTTTAAAGAATGAATATAAAAGATTAAAGTTAATTTTAAAGATTATTTATTTATCAATAATTAGAACAAAATGTAAATTATAAAGAATTGAAATAACTATTCAATCGAGTTGAACCTGTATCTTTTACCAAAGTCAAAGTGCATAAAATTTGATGGAAGCCTTAGGTTGGGGAGGATGGTACATAAAATTTGACGATATACTCAACATGGATCGATTTCCAAAGGTAATGTACGAGAAATAAGAACTTTGGTGGTGAAACGAAGATATTCATCAAAGGGGAAGAAACAAGAGTGAATTATCCAAGTCATTTATAGGTTCAAAACTATATAGTAGGTATTAATGCTAGGAATGAGAAGAAAAACAGAGTGAAATATAACTTCGGAAGTTTTACATTATATATCCGATAACTAAGAATATATAAGTTAAGAAAAAAAAAACAAGATGATGAAAAATAGGTGGATTTAATAATTTTAATAGATTAAAATAACATATAATATGTAAACGAATATATATATATATATATATATATATATATATATATATATATATATATATATATTATTTTTTTATTTAACATATTTAATTATTTTAAAATTCATGAAAAACATTAAGTGAACTTAGAATTATATAATATTTTATTTAAATTAACACAAATTTAATAGATTATTAAATTTAAATATCTACAAAATTTTGGAGAAATCAAAATTCTAAATATATAAATAATATAAAAATATTTCGGGGACTCTTTCCTTTATATGATGGTTCAACGTTACATATAAAGATGCTTTAAGGATGAAGATGTAATGCAACTGATTTATATTTTTGATCACGTAATATTTATTATCTAATGTTTATTTCTCAATTAGCTAATTAATTTCATAAACTTAATCTTCGTAATATGGGAAGTGAAAATTATGCCATTTTGATATATTAAATTCTGAATACGTTAATAGTATACTTGTATATTTTTCCCTTTGTAATCAAGTCTATCTAATTTTTCTATTGTCTAGTTCAATATTAACATAATATAGCCACGAGCATGGTTCACATGATAACTACGTCGTCTTAGTCAAATACTTGAGAAAATAAAATTTATATGGTTTGCTCAGTTTTTCCTTCCTATAGTCAAGATCGATGAATATTGCAGATACGAAATAGAGCTAAGGAAAATTAAGTAGCTTGGTACAGGGTATAATATTTATTTAACTGATTTTGTTGTAATTGAAAAACAGAAGAGAGTTAATTATTTAAGTTGAAGGCATGTCGTCATTCAGTGGCCTTGCCCTTACGTCTGCTGCTACTGCCGGTTTCTAACAGGTAACAAACCATAGAATCAACGTCGTCCCCAAATATGCTGTAAGCCTCAATGGCTTGGATGTAAGTGAATCCCATAGATAGTAATATCTGCATTCCACTACTCAGATCAGAACCATGCTCTTTTCCATTTTCTCTCTTCCGATCAGTGCCGGATGATCGTGCTGCTTCCATCAACACATAAATATTTAGCCATTTATACATGTTTAAAAATATAGAAGTATTAACACTTTCAGTTCTAAAACACTGCTTGCTTAAACCTTGGGGTTTAAACATACTAAATTTAAGGAAACAGACCAACTGGCATACAAGAGAGAAACTCACTTGCTCCAGAAGATGATGGTTCAGCGTTTGAGGTAGAGGACTCTGTGTCACCAAGCTGTTGCTTAAATGTACTATCTGCAAGGTATTCAGCTCGAGAAAATTCCATCACCATGCGTTCAATTTCCTTTTCTGTAAGCTCAAGATCAGAGTAAAACCGACCCTCGGCTAAAAGTGCCTGTTGAAAGCAACAAGATAAGTTATTGTCACCGAGTTAATAAAAAAACTGTCATTCTCACCATTAAAATTTGAAGTACTTACATTATTGATCTGTTCATCCTGCTGAGCTTTAATAGCAGCCTTGACTTGATCTTTGTCAACATTTGTCTGAGTATCATAAAAAACATATGGGTCATCAATTATTGACAACTTCCATAGTTAGGAGCCCTAAAATTGCTGTGAGGTTTCCTATAAATATTTATTGCAGATTATAATATAGTTTAATGCTCCAATTGGCAGATAATCCTAAGCTCACTGTTCCATTAATGCATAGAATATCAAAATCATAACACAGGAGGAAAGTGACAACAACTCATGAAATAATAGGCATGGTACTTACTCCACGAAGACTGCTGAACCCAAGCCCAGCACCAATTGTCAAGCGCCGCGGGTCAACAAGGGAGTTGTAATGATTCCCATGATGATAACTCAATCGAATTGGTGGTGTGTCAGTGTTGTAGCTTCCATGAAAAATATTGATAGGTTCTGCATAATGATTGATGTTATAGAATTATACATAAACAATCACAGACATTAAAATTTCAGGGGCTCACCTGTGGTGTAAGAGTATATGTGAATTGGACGATTATACATTTCACACATGACTTGGATTTCAACGTTATTTCCATAAACCTGCCAAAAAGTACGAACACAAGTTTTGCCTAAATTGAAAAATTAACATAGTTTTAACCACATTCTAACAGACAAACAGCATTTTCTCATAATATAAAAGATACTACTGCTATGCTTTACTCTAAACCAACAAGTACATTTATGTTAAAGTACAATTTGTAGGTATAAAGGTAAAGTATGCACAATTTACTCTGCAAAATGAGAAATGGAAACACAAACACCAAGAGACTGAAGGGATCTGTCAAAAGAAATATATTCCAAATGAAAATACAACTCAGACAATATTACCAAACTAATAATGCACACATCTTTTTCCATACAATTTATATACAAATGTCGTTCTACAGTGGACAAGCTTACTAGCTAGGAATAATTGCAGAAAATTACATGCTATTAATCACATAAATTAAACACCAAGTCATGGTTAGAATCCACAATGACAGTAATCCAATTACTCATTTGTTTACTGTCAGAGAAAGAATATGGATTAGAATAATTCCTTTAATTATAAGAATATTGTCCGAGAAGGGCGACATGAAAATTTTGATCCACTTCCTTTAGAAGGCAAATCCACATTCATATTATTGAAAATGCAGAAAGAATAAGAGAACCCGAAATTATATTATGTTTGCATGAAATATATAAGGCAAGTTTTTTCACCCAATTTAACAGAAAGAAAAACTAGTCTCGGCACATAAGTCCTACATTATAACAGACAGACAATATAGTCTCAACACATAAGTAATAGATTAGATTATTTATAACATAACATACTGGTTCCAACTTCAGAGGGACTCGTATTTGAAAAACTGATGTGAGAAATACAAAAATAAGAGACCTGGCAGACATATTTATTATGTCAAGGGAGGAAAAGGAAAATATTAAACAGATTACAGGTCGATCAAATTTCTAGAGTTTTTCTTATTGTGTTGCTAATCTATGCCACCCCAAAGTAGGCCACCAGAAATCAAGCTGCAATTCACCTAACTAATTGCCCAATGTCATTGAATGATTGTTTCAATTATGACAACACAAAGTTCCATATTATTCAAGTAACGACGACACTCTAATATTTTATTAGTCAACAACACATCACTGAGACATTAGTTGAAGGGGGTTTCTTAAAACTAAATCATCAGATCTTAGTTTAGATATGAAAAATGAAGAACGGAGAAAGAAAATTATAACCAATCAATCAAATAGATTGTTCTCAAAATTGAATATGGAACATAAAAAAGTCAAAGGGCTGAGAGCCTGAGAAAAGTGAATAACCAACATAAAGATTAACAAGTGTTAAAGAATTTTCAACCACCCATTACATTAATAGTGTGGCTTGAGAGAGTCATGGATCTCTCAAATTCAGGGAACTTGGACAATCTTTCAGTTTATCACAGTACAGTCTTCGTGTGCTTAATTTGAAACAGTTTCTAACATCTGGTACGAGAGACCTAGTTGAGTGGGGGAATTGTCTAGAAAATGACTTCAAGATTGATTCCAGTTTTGACGCAAGGGGGAGACTTGTTAGTGACTGACCAGTAGAAATAAAATTGTTCACCAAAAATATATAAATAATATAAACTAACTAGTTGCGATGCTAAGTTCCACACAGTCAATAGCAAACGAAAAGGGATAGAAATAAAACAATTATATCCAAACATAAAGGCCTAAAATCCCAACAATAACCAAGTTTTCCCATGAACCAAGAAACAAAATGTTCACCAACTAGACTATCACATACCTTATCTCTTCTTTTTCTCTTGCAGTAAGATGTGAACCCTTCAGTTATGAACTGAGAAAAGTGGTCTCTCTCTCGCTCCTGAAGATAATGCCACAAATACTTAATCCTCTTAAGTTCAATAAAACTCCACCAACGTACGTGCATGAGAAAAAATCTAGAAAGTACATACTAAAATGCACCCCCATTCAGCTTAATGTACATACTTGAAACAATTTGTCAATTGAATAAGAGACAGCATATTTATGAAAATTCGAAAAAGAAAAATTTCCAACCAAACTAAAAGCAAGAAAACAGGACATGGAACAATAATTTAAGAAAATTAAATCAGAATGAGCAAATATACATGTACTAGCCACTGGCACATAAAAAAAAATAAAGAAAAGAAAGTCAGGGACTCTCGAATCCCTCATCAGGATTTGCATCAAAATTGCAAAACATTCCATAAAAATGTGAATTTAAGCTTCCTCCTTTCATTTTCTCCACTACTGCTCATGTTACCATTGCCAAAATTACTTTCTTCCCAACCATATGGCAATACTCTCAATGCATTCTTACATCCAAATGAGGAAAATAAAACTCAACTTCTCAGATTAATTTCAAAAACCTTAAAATTTTCTGGATTTTCCAATTAAAAGTTACCTTAACTATCTTTTGCTTCTGCCCACTGCACAGTTTCAAGCATACACATGATACAGTCCGGATACATTAAAACTCTTATATAATCAACAATTAATTCATACAACCAAAAACAAGCAACCTAAAATCCAATTGTCTAAAAATTCATGGTTGGACCCTTCCTAAATATATTAAATCTGAATAATTCTTTTTGAGATACAAATGCTAAAAAGAACTAAATCCTTTCAAAAATCAACACCTTTTGTTTGTTAATATCACCGACACCCACTGAAATTAAATCAGCTACTGATCATCAGAAGCTAATGGGAAACATACTTTCAGTTATAGTAGAAGAAGCATATATGAATGTTTGCCATAAATAAAAAATTAATACAACATTATCATACCATATAATCAATGCACATCTGTCTGACCAAATCATACAAGTCAGAGTCCCCATACACCTGATCTGCAACAGCTCGGAAAAGACAATTTCCATCCTCCATCATTTTTTTTACTTCATAACCTTTTGCCCTTCTGATATCAATTTCAAACTGCCGCTCTCTCTCCTGCAATAGATGTCAATATAAGTTCAATTTATTATTACATATGAGGACACAAAGGAAATCAGGAAACAAAATAATAATATCAATATGGATCTTCAACGTCGCATGGAGAAACTTAACAAAATACATTAATATATCCCTAATCACCTATCAAAATACAACCCAACATAGGGTTGCCGGTATAAAGAAATGTGATGTATGAATAATCAATAATGACAAATGTTATATACAAATTAAACACGTTCCCTGAACCCTTACATAACTATATGAAGTAATAGTATATCTTCAATCTAAAAAGATATGATCCTTCTTATCAAATATGCCATCATCATATTCAATTACTTTGTATCCATAACTAGGAAGAAATGCTAAAGGGATAATAAAATAGTTGCTTAAAATGGTTATTCTCTTATAAGAGAGGAATTGGCGAAATTATCAATATCATTCCTTGCCAGTATCTTCTAATAATCAAGTCACACACTACGGCCTAAAGGGAACTGAAATATACCAACACCCATAGCAGCACTGAAATCCAGTACACAGGCAGTCATCAACTTACAAAATCATCATAAGACGAAACCAGGCAAGGCTTCTGTTCATCAGCACTATTGTACCCCTCACTTTCATTATGTGCCCTAGGAGAAGACGGCCTAGACCCCGCAGGCGAAGTCCTGGCCGGAACAACCGGCCATGCAGATGTCCTCCTCGACGATCCCACACTGCCCGAATTCAAACTCCCGGTCACACTCCTTCTTGAATTCAAGTTCCCCGCCACAGAAGGTTTGGGAGGCGGCACCGGAGGTGGAGGGGGACACGAACCACCACCACCAACAGGGTGGGAAGAAGAATCCCCACTCGAACCCTCACTCTCTGTAACAACCCTTTCACCAACTCTCAGCCCACTCAACCCCTTCACAATCTCCTCCCTTACATCACTCTCAACAACAGCAGCAGCAGCCATATCATCATCACACGACCCATCTCCCTTCTCAAAATGAAGACTGTCCTCACTCTTCCCCTTATCGCCACTCTCCGAAACCTCATCCGATACAACAACTTCGTCGCAATTCTCCGGCGAAACAAAAACCTGGGCCTCCGGGCGCACGGAGGAATTGGAAGAAGACCCACCACTCCGGTTCGCGTTCGAAGAAGAACCACCGCCGGAAGAACCCCTCTGAACCAACACACGAGTCATTGTAATCGGCAACGCAACGCAAACCCTAATTTCGGATTTTCAGAGGGTTTGGATCATTAGTTTGTCGCGGGTTCTGGCCTTGGGCGTAGTGATGCCAATCCCTTGGAAGAAAGAGTCGTTGCAGCAGTAGTGATCCTCGCAAAGCGATCTCTGCATTCCCCTAACAATTCTCATCAGACCCAACCCTCCAACTTTAAAGAAGAAAACCTTTCTTTTTTTGTTAAGAAGACGAATTTTACCAAGATTTTCCGCCGCCGAAAAATCAAAACCCTTCGCGACCCCAACCTGCACGCATCGAAACCAAAAATTGGCGTGTCGATCGGATGAATCAAAGCAAACAAAGGAAATTTGTAATTTCAATCATAATTCTTACGATTTAGATGATTGTCACGGTGATTTTATGAAAATTGAGAAAAAGGAAGAAAGGGAATAATGCGAGATGGAGTGGTTGAGTGACTGACCTGAAAAGAAGGATTGATTAGGGTTTTTGAAGAGAAGAATAGAGAAAGGAGAAAAGTGTGGAAAGGTTTTAACGGTGCGGGAACGGTGAGTTTCAACACCAACGTCCCCTCCCTCACCACCTTACACCTGGCCACCCACCCACACTTGATCCCACGTGCCACTTTTACTTCCTTTCTCTTCTCTTATGCTGCCTTATCTTACTCCATTCTAATTCTTATTCTCATTCTCCTTCTCATTTCTTCTAGGCTAAGATAAATAATATTAACACCATTGTTACCCTTTTTTTATGCCTGCTTAATCATTCATTCACCCTAACAATACTTTCTAACTCCAAACATTAACCATTTAACTCATTACAGCAAAGTAATATATTTATTATTCTATAAGTTAATTACATATCATTTTTTTAATTATAATATATGAAGTTATTTTTATTGCTTTTAACACTATTTTTATTTATTATATTTTGTTCTTTTTTTAAATAACTTATCCGTTCACAATATATTTTTAATATATTACACCCGGTAACTTTGTCTCCAAACACAAATCCACTTTTTAAGTATAATAGTAATTCCCTTTCATAGAAAAAAATATTACATACGTAGATTTTTATTTTATTTTATTTTTATATCAAACCTAAAACTAAAAATGGTCTGGATCAAAATTAACATGTACTAAAAAATAAAATAGTTATTCATAAGATATTAAATTAGTTATAAAAATGATCATTATATATACCTTATTCGTATAAAATAATATACATCCTACACAATGGAATTGCACATATAAAATAACCCTATTATTCTAAATTTAAATATTTTTCACAAACTCTAACTAATAATAAGAACTAAAAATAATAGCAAAAGATGTTTAACATCTAAAAATAATAACAGATACATTTTTCTTATTTTAAAAACTTATTTTAAAAATAATATTAGCAAATATTTAATTATTCATTTAAAAAGTACATTTTAATATATATAACATGTTATTATTCGAGTGTTGAATTTAATTCTGAAGTAAGGTATTGGATTCGAACGCTGTGAAAAGATAAACTATAATTGAAAAAAAAAAACCTCCATTAATATGATTACAAAAACAAAACTACGTGTTCCAAATCATATAATTCATCTTAAATTTTCTAACCCAGCTAAGTTTACATAATCTTTCAGCTAATACAATTTTAAAATACAGTCTATAGTGAAACTTGTTAAATTATTTGAAAAGTCTCTTTAATTTAACTATTTTATAATGTCTAGTTTAAAGTAGTTCGAGTGTGAAGGAGTTGTTGGCAAGAACTCAGGCCCACTTGCTCCACCTTGCACAAGAAAAAAAAAATATTCCTCGTTTTACTGCTCATTGTCCGCAAAAGTTTTGATAACGACATAAAGATAGAGAATATTCTATGATACCCTAATTCCCATATCTTGGCAGGTGCTAACACAACATATATCTCAAATTGGTTCAGTGCAAGGCCAAATAATGCGGCTTGAAAACTGATAAGAAAGCCATTCCTCGTCTCAGTGATTTTCTCTTTCCATTGGTTACTTTACTAAACAGTTTTGTCACCTAATTGACTGAATCGATTGAACCAGAATCGTTGGTTCAACCAATGCTGTTAAAACTTCCCTCCAAAGGTTTCGACATCATTGGTTTTATTACAAGGTATTCCCATATTTGGTAGGTGTGTGACGACCAGACAAACACGTGCTCCCCGTCACAAATTACCGTAGTTTAGGTCATTTGCATGTTAAAAAGAATAGGAAAGGAATAGACATGAACACAAATAAACAATTAAACCAAAGCTAAGCTACTGACAATTTAATTCAAACATAATCACGTTAAATTCTGTCAACAACTTCGTGTTTTCAAGCTATTTTATTAACATCATATAATTAAGCTATTTCCCGTCTTGGAAGTGAACGAAACCTCAGATTTATAGATTATCTTGCCAGAATAAATTTTTTGTGGCTTTTCATTGCCAAAGATAACATCCAATTAAAATAAAGAGAACGGGTAGAGGGACTTTTTAAATGCTTTCGTTTATTTGCCTCATTCTTTAAAATGCCAAAAAAACGCGTTTAATTTACATGACACATTCAAAATTGCTATGGTGAAAATGATTACATGCATACCATCTATATTTCCTATTCATGGTATGAATAAAATATTATGTATTCACAATATCTTCGAACCAAACAAAAAATGGTTACCCCATTTAGATAAACAAATGATTTCGTAAACGGTATATTGTCAACCCAATTGCTTGCTATACCTTCAACTTCCACCCTCGGGCAGCAAGCGCTTCATGAACCTTTTTGGCGGCATCAGCAGTATCGGCAAGAGGTGGATAACTCCAACTTTCTGATATCTGAAATTTAAGTAAAACATATACCTATTACAAAATAAACACATTTGACAATACGGGTGATTCCAGAACAGAAATCCTTCCACAATAATCTTCAACCGTGGTGTATTATACAAAAAATACTGTTATAACTTACATCCTCAGAACCTGTAAAAGGCCTAACAACTCCCATCTCTCTCAAAGACTTGTGAAATTCATTGAACTTCCATCTACATCGCTCAACTCCAAGAACATAAACAGGCTTCCTGGGGATAGAACAAAATTATTTGATAGCATTAAATACTTGCATCAAGAGCAATTAAATAAAATTATCATAACAATAGAAATACTTATACAAGCATACCCAGTGCTGCAAGCTTCACTTATCATGCTAACTGAATCTGCGGTGACAACAAATGCATCGGCCCAAGCTAAATGGCCCATGTGTAGGTCAGGTCCTGAATGTTGTGTAACAGTCAAGTTTATCTGTTGAAACAAATTTAAATATCGGAATTGAAACTGGAACAAATATTTACCTTGCCCATCCCAAATATAAACTTTTGGATTATTCCCAAGTTCTTTTACTATAATATTGGACACCTGTTTAAACACCAAAGAGAGAAATAGTCTGAAGAGACTGAAAAGTTTGTCGATGGATATCATTTTAAGAAGCTTCAAATAATGAAGGACTATACCTTCTGTGGTGTCCTCTCCGAAAAGGATATCCTAACACTCCCACACCTAGCTAGGACACTGAGCAATGAAGCTGCTAACTGCTTGGCAAGATCTACACCATATCGACAGTTTCCTAAATCGATCGTGGACATCAGTCAATACCCAATTTTTAGCCATAGAAAATCCTTCTTCAGTGGGTTTTAATGACATTTCAAATAATTAAGTTCACAATAGAAATTACTTGTTGGTCCTCCAATGTTGACCACGAGCAAGGGCCTGGGAACATGTGAAAACTCATCATGCCAAGTAGCAGCAGCACTACGTATTGAACTGAAATCTACTTGATGTAGCGCCCCCATAGTGAGAACCTGAACATACAATTCCACATAATAGTCCTCGCTCAGAAATTGACAGTAGCCAACATCACAGTTAAAAGCTATTTATTGTCTAACATACGCACAATATACATACCACATGACAATCTGGAGGATCACGTGGAGTTATCCACCTTCGAAGGAACTGAGGAACCTGTTTTTGTCCTTCTGGAGTCAAAGGATAATAATCATGCTTAGGTGTAATCACCATGTCAAATCTATTCAAATGCAATCTGGGATGTTGTATCTGGTCATGAGACAAATACCATCAGAGAGACCAAGATAAGAAATCGAAGCAGATTTTTTTACATTTACATAGTAATGAACATCAGAGAAAAATACAAAATACAATAAATAATACTGCACCATAGGACAACGAAATCTTGACCAGGTAATAATAGACACCAACATATATACAATATAAAACCCACATTTTAGAAACAACATGACCAAGGTTTTAAATCGTTAATGACTTCAGATGAAGTAACCATATAGTGTAGAGTTGTAGCAGTCATCACTAAGAAATTACAGATCAACAACAGCCTGCAATGGCAGAATGCTACCACAAAACCTTGAATGTGATATGAAAAGTAAAGAAAATAGAGTAGACAGAACAGATGTTCATAAGGGAAAGAAATCATAGAAATAACAATTTTTTGAGATTTCCTAGCAAGATAGTACCAAAGAATTGTAAACCAAGACGGATCTAAAGATTAAAAGTTGACGTGAAAAAAATCCAATCATTACTCCTAGTGTTTTGGAGTGCATTCAATATTCCCAGCTCTGTCAATCACCAGTTCAATTCAGTTCTTTGTTAATTTAATTGAGCCTACTTTTATCTCACCTTTTGGTTCACATTATAGCAAAACCAACCAAACCAAAGAGGTCATGCCTAGTACATACAGCGTTATAGCCATTGAAATAATATTGATTACCTTCATAAATGATCATAATAGAACATGTTTCCATTATAAGTAGTTTTTCCAAATTTGATTGTACATACTAAAAAATTGCATAATTTGCAAGATATCATATCTAAATTAAATAAAAGATTTATGCATGAAGTCTTCAAACCTGAACAACAAAAACATTCTCAGATGCTAAACGTTTTATGGAACTTGCAGTAGAAATGGTATCTCTTCCACATGCGACAACCAGCAAAGGTCCCTCCCTGGATAAAATATTAATCATATCATTCATTGTAAGAGGCCAAAGAATCAGTTGCAGATGAAGCTACAAGAAAGATGCTAAAGAATGCTAGAAGAAAGTACAAATATATGAATTGAAAGACTAAAATTACATCAATATCAGAATCAGAATACTGATTGGATTTGTACGGTAAACTAAATAACAAGTCATATAATTAAGTTTTATGCCAGAGCAGCACAACAGGCATGCACACGCATGTCTTAACATTAATGGACTGGAAATCTTGTAAATCTAGTATATATCTTAGTCGTACAAAATAATTATTACAACTTACAAGAAATAAAGTGTCAAATAATTCATATCACACATCCTATTAGGTATAATGCTAACGTTCAAAGGAAGTTCACTGCTCTGAATGAGTAAGATTATTAATGGCAAGGTTTCTCAGACATTTGAATCAGTCTCCATCAAGAACGAATAAAAAAGTTACTGACACAAGCTATACATAACACACATCAATGACATCAGTTTACAGAGAAAAGAATAGGAATTACTTCTCATAAGTTTCACGAGCAAAACTAACTATATGCTTTACATCAGCTTCTAAGACAGATAACAAGCCTGCACTGACACCATTCTCTGAAGGTAAAGGCATAAGCTTCTTTTCCTGAGATTTCAACATAAGCTGAGAATAACCTCGAATCATTCTTACTATATAATCTATTTTTTTATGGAGAGAGACTGGAAGCCATTGAAGCCACTCATTAATTCCCCCTTTTGGTCTGGTAACACGCTGCAAAAAGTCAGTCATAAAACGATAAATGAACTCATTCAGCAGTTAAGAGGTGCTTTCAATTTCAACATAGCAAAGTGTAGTGCATTAATGCTTTATAAAGAAGGCAAATTAGATGCCTGAAAACTATTTTAAAATTAAGCACATAGTTATAGCCCCAACAACGTGTTAGTTGCCCTTGCACACAATGCCATGTGACAATGAATCAGCATGAGTCATAAGAAATGCTTATGGCAATGGCAACATGTCAATCAATTCTTATTTCCCTTCATAAGAGAAAAAAATTTACTTATAGTGAAAAATTTAACCGTAACTCAATTTCCTCCAAACATAACCTGAATAGAAAAACGCCAAACAGTGATACAAGGCAAGTAAGGATAGAATTTGTATCAGATTCAGATGATAAAGGTACACAAATATACAATTTACTATAAAAAAAAAGGTGGAAATCTCAGTCTCTTATCCAAGGAAAATTTCATTTGGCAGGACAAGACATAACCATAAAATCCCATTCTCAATTTGTTATATTTCTAAGCTACAGCTATTACCCAATATACTATAAAAATCCCTTTCTCAATTTGTTATGTTTCTAAGATACAGCTATTACCCAATATCACTCGAATAAATCCATATATAGATGTTTTCCCTTCAATAATTTACTTGCCTTTTCAAACACAGATACCAAGTATGCAGAATGGATACATTCAGGTATACTACTGTACAGGTTTGATTCATTCATTTGCTTACATTATTATTAAAAGGCCTTTCTTTAAAAGCAACAGGTTACAAGGCACATGATACAATGAATTCAGTATGTAATACCTAGGGTTATTGACAGAATCAAGTAAAATGCTTTAATTGCATTTTATGTTTCTACATTGTACAAATTTCTTCCACAACACATCTTCTAACAATAAAATTTTATCCTCTACGCCTGCATGGTTTGGACATACAGTATTAAGAAGAGTAACCTAAACCTTCAATAAGTCCTCCCTCAGTCAAATTATTCCCTAACAGTCATCAACTCAACACTAATCTCATCAGCTATAATGCATAAGTGCAAGTATCAGGGACTAATTGGTGACTTTATCTTTGAGGGGTCAAGACAACTAATGCCATCTTCTTCCGCCAATAATCTCGCTACTAACTCCTCCAAAAACCATACAATTATCCACAGTCAAACCATTTCTCAATCAAGTCAAACGCAAAGTTCAAAACTAGACGAATAATTTTACTTAGTTGTTATGATAGGACTGCGAAGAAATATATGCGGAGAAACAAAAAAAAAAATTATGTATTCTTACATATAAGACGTGCTTATCGGAGAGTCCCAGGGCACGAACCAATCCGATGCTCTGATTCTCCGAAGCGGCAAAGCCGTTGCCGATTACGACAGCGCGTCGCACGAACGTGTGAACTCCGGACTCGAAGATGTCCGGAGTGCCTCTCCCGGTGGTAGGGCTCGGCGGCTCCGGAAGCTGAATTCGTCTCATCGACTCGATTTCGAACGCGTACCCCAAAATATGAACACACCGGTCTCAGTTCAAGAATATGGAGCATGAATTTTTTTTTCAATAAAATTAAACAAAAATTTAGATTCCAGCAGTGCCAGAGTCGTAATTAGGAAGTTTGCAGGTTTTGCCTATAAAATATAAATTCCTGGCAAAAAAAGAAACCGATTTGTTACGGCCCATGGGCCGAAAAGCCAGTGTTTTCTTTTGTTTGGATCATCACAAGGCTCGTGTCAGATTTTTGTGACGATTTGTTTATGCTTTAATATATATATATATATATATATATATATATATATATATATATATATATATATATATATATATATATTATATATATATAAAGAAAAATCAAATTATTATATATAATGTGAATACATTTAAAAAGAATTATAAAAAAATATAAACAATACCGCTTTCACTCTTTAATAGAATAATAAATTATGTTTATACGATAATTTATACAATAATCATACATTTTCGTAGAGGTTGGATTTTATTTATATAAGGATATTTAGCTGCGTTTGATTATTTTTCATAATTGATGAGTTTAGTTCTCAAAATCCCTTTCTTCTTGATGAAATAACAAGAAGAATATGTATTAGTTGAAGAATTATAGGTTTCATACATCTTAACTAATGAAATAGCTTTCTGAACTCGATTTGGTTGATATATTTTAAGTTGAGATAAAGATATTTGATTAGTTAAATTATATATTTGTATAACGGTATAAAATATTATATAATCATAATTTCCTTTATTTAGTTTTTATTTATTGAATTAAAATACTATAAAACTATAGTATATGTGTAAAAAATAATATGAATAAAATTATAGAATGAATTCTATCACTGCTACTAGATATGCCTTTCAACGTCGGTTATATAAGGCTTTCAACGTCGGTTATACAACCGACGTTGTTTCGAGCGACGTTGAAAGTATACACTTTCAACGTCGGGTATAGATAACCGACGTTGAAAGTTTAGGCTTTCAACGCTCGGTTATTCATACCGACGTTGAAAGTGTATACTCGTCGCTCAAGCGAGTACACTCGTCGCTCAAGCGAAATGGAACCCGAGAGTCCCCTTTGTTTGAAGCTTTCGTTGCTTAAGCGAGTACACTCGTCGCTCAAGCGAGATGGAACCCGAGAGTCCCCATTGTTTGAAGCTTTCGTCGCTTAAGCGAGTACACTCGTCGCTCAAGCTAGATGGAACCCGAGAGTCCCCTTTGTTTGAAGCTTTCGTCGCTTAAGCGAGTACACTCGTCGCTCAAGCGAGATGGAACCCGAGAGGCCCCTTTGTTTGAAGCTTTCGTCGCTCAAGCGAGTACAATCGTCGCTCAAGCGAGTACGTGTTTACTATGTCGGTTATGGTATGAACCGACGTAGAAAGTCTATTTTTTTTTTTTAAATGGACGCTTTGTTTATACAGGGTACCCAATGTTTGTATATATACATACCTGCAAATTTGAATACAACCCAGGCAGACAATGTACAAGATATAAACAATTGAATGTGCATCCAAAAATAAAATTGTATCCAAAATTATAGTGTATCCAACTACTTATCTACCAAATACACTAACTACTAATCTAACTAATAAACTAACTAGTAAAGTAACTAAAGTAACTACTAAACTAACTACTAAACTAAGTACTAAATTAATAACTAAACTTGCCTACTTCTAACTTTAACAAACTTATCGGCCCATGTGTTTCTAATATCGTCAATGGTCTCTATGGGCAATGCTTCCCTGTCTGAAAATACCTATTACAAGAAAAAAGATAATTTAACAGAGTATCCAATGACACAATACTGGGTCTTTTATTGAATACTAAATTTAAGCAAACCTGATTCCATGTATCCTCAATCTTGCTAACAACAATCAGCCACATCCAGAGTGCATAACATAATATCCGCACTCATAAGATCCTGGTTGCCTATTACACTACAAAAAATAATATATTAATTTGACATATAAAATGAATGATATAATACATAAATATAAAATGACTTACATTAACAAAAATCCAATCTGGAGTCGTGCTTTTGCTTGTGTGTACTTCATCAATTGTATTGCAAACCTTAAATGCACTTGTGCAATACAAGATATAATGAAACAATTAAGTAACAAAACAATTAATAATTGTTTAAATTATTATAAGAATGTGTACCTGTTTACAATGTTTTTAAGATTTGCATCAGGTTTCTTGCCCAGATGAGCGAGAACCAAGCCACAACATTCGCTTTGGGCAAACAACCAACAACTGCCAATGATTTCTGCTTACATTACAAAAAGTTAGGATAATACAATACACTATAAAATTTAATGCGAATAATTTCATACGCTTAAATACTTACCGATGGTGGTAAGCACCCAAGTAAACTTTCTTCCTTGACTTCATCATCCAATTTTGGATGTATATTTGAACTTCTTCTCTCTTGTTTCCTGATTTTTATATGGATTGGGGCTCAAAAAATCCATACACATCTTGGGTGCGTTGTTCCTCCGACAATTCATTCATCATCCTAAAGTAGCCAGTTCAATGTACATTAAATATGACGATAACTTCAAATAACATAATTAGTAAATAAAAATAAATACTTACATTGTCCAAAATTGTAACACTTGCTATGTTTAGACACCGATTGCCAACTGCTATCTCCACAAGCATCGGTGTGGTCAATGTAAAGGGGAAAGTTCTTATTGTCTACCCCTAACTTATTAACATCCCACTTCACTTGAAAAGATTGAATATACAACTGTGGGACAACAGATAGTAGTTGAAAAATTGGATTTTTTGGGACATCTACTTCCTTACCTTTACTAGTATGGGAAGTAGGAACCAATTTAGGCAACTGGGGTGGCTTCGAACATCCTACATAAAATAACATTGACTTGAGAAATAATAAAAAATAGTACCGAGACTACATATGATAATTAACGGAAAGTATATGCAAACCTTTTTCAAAATAGGCCTGATTAGATGTTTAGGCCATGCAATGAAGGTCTGGAGGGCCTGTCCCACTGTCATCACCTCGTCTGTGGGCACAGGTACAAGAGCATACGCATCTCGAACCTCTTCAATGACCACTTTGGCCAAGTTAGGTGCTAAAGGCACACTATGAATTGTAGAGGCCCCCTCTTCAATTGAACCAACCTTGGAATAATTGGAAGGTACCATATAACTTTTGCAGGAGGTCTCTTTCTATCAATACATTCGCTATTATCATCCTTGTCTTTCAATTTGTAACGCGATACACCACATCTTGGACACTCATGTAGGCTTTCAAACTCTTTTTCGTATAATACACAATCATTAGGGCAAGCATGTATCTTTTTATACTGTAAACCCATTGGACAAAGTATTTTTTGGCTTCATACATACGATCAGGCAAGGTGTTATCGCTTGGGAGCATATCTTTCAAAACTTCTAGTAACTCAGTGAAACTTTTATCACTCCAACCAAATTTGGCCTTCAAATTCACCAATCTCAATACAGCTGACAATCGCGTGAATGTTGTACATCCAAGCATACAGAGGTATCTACTGAATCTATCTTCAATTTATCATAGACAGCGACATGTGCTTGTAGAAAATTCTCTTGACCTACATCACGAATCATGTCTTCTATTCGATCTTCCATTGTCATATCCTCCTCTTCCTCGACTTGTGTTACTATTGGTGTATCAATCACTTCACCATGCCATGTCCATAGGATATAATTCTTCATTATCCCATCACATAAAAGATGTTCCCGTATTGTCTCTAGTGTGTGTACTCTCCCATTAACGCAGTTAACGCATGGACAATACAATTTTTCATTAACCTTGGTGCCATTGTGTTCGGCAAATCGCAAAAATTCTTCAACTCCATTCTCATACTCTTGTGAAATACGACTTGCATTTACCTAACTTCGATCCATTTTGGAATTGGAGTCTACAAATGAGAAACCCATAAAACGATTATTACTAATAATCGTTATCTCTAATGAAATCTATACCAAAGTAGATTAATTTGTAACGAAATTTCATCAGAATTTTGTCTATTTTTTGGTCAAAACCAAATTTGTATAAATTGAAATTATAGACTTTTCATTGTTACTACCATCACTTATATAACTACATTGTTATATGTAGTTTTCAAATTCACACTTCATGATTAATTTCTAACAAAAATCCGTAGAGTTTCCTTTGTTTTTTGGCAACAATTTTAAATGACACAGTGAAACCTGACAATAAAAAGCCCCACGGACATATTCAAGCAGTTCAAGTATAATTGTACACATCATCAATACATTGAAAAAAACTATAATATGACTAAGAATTGAATCAACAGTTAACGGCAAATGACTAACAATCTCTACCTATGAAATGTAGTAAGTAAAATTGTATGACTTTGACCAACAAATATAAGTGCAACAACATCGTACTCGTGGTTTAAGGCAGCGATGAAGGTTCGCACCACGGAGAAACGAGAGCGCACGTACCGGGGTGGAGGTGGAGGATGCAATGCGGCGTTAGGGTCGAGGCCGTGGTGAACGGACAATGCAATGTGGGTGGAGGCTGCGGTGGGGGTGGAGGGTGGGCGACTAGCGTCGCGGTGGGGTGGAAGGCTGCAGTGGGGTGGAGGTGCTGCGGCGGGGTGTCACGCGGTGCGCGGTGGCGACGTGAGGGAGGGCGTCCGGAGAGTCCAAATGACGGTGGTAGGTGGTGGCCGCGATGCTGGAGAGTAAGGGGAGTGGGCGCGATGCTGGAGAGTAAGGGGAGATACAAAAATGCATATGGTAGCCTATTCAAATGGGAAAACGGGGTTTCGACGTCGGTTATACCCACACCCGACGTTGAAACTCGATTTATCTTCCAGTCATATGTTTTAATTGATTGAAACGAGATTTAATCGATTAAAATAGTTCTGATCGGTCATAACTGGATTCTGATCGATCATCCTGACCTTTTAAGAGATTTTAATCGATTGAAACGT